GGTCTCCCACACCAAAGGCAAGCATCTTATTTCAAACAATTTATCAACACAGATTCAAACACTGATCAAAATTACAAAGGCAACACTTTTGTTTTTGTCCCCATTCATCATGAGCTGAACTCAAAGATCTAAGACTTTCTCTGTGTACACAAAAGGCCTATTTCTCTCAAATATTGTTCACAAATCTGCCACAATCTGTGTTAGTGAGCACTTCTCCTTTGCCCAGATAATCCATCCACCTCACAGGTGTGGCATATCAAGATGCTGATCAGACAGCATGGGGATTGCACAGGTGTGCCTTAGGCTGGCCACAACAAAAGGCCCTAGGCTGGCCACAACAAAAGGCCCTAGGCTGGCCAAAATTAGGCTGGCCACAATAAAAGGCCTTAGGCCGGCCACAATAAAAGGCCTTAGGGCTGGCCACAATTAGGCCGGCCACAAAAAAGGCATTAGGCTGGTCACAATAAAAGGCCACTCCAAAATGTGCAGTTCCATCACACAGCACAACGCCACAGATGTTGCAAGTTTTGAGGGAGCGTGCAGTCGGCACGCTCCCTGAGGCAAATGGTGGTCACACCAGATACTGACTGGTTCCCGGACCCCCCCCGGACCCCACCAATACAGTGAAACTGCACATTTTTGAATTTTCTGTTTCTGTGTTTTTGGTTTTTCTGATTTGGTTTTTAAAGAAAATAATGAAAGAACAAACCAAACACGGATTTTAATTCTGGTTTTTGTGGATCTTTTCGTTCACCGCCGCTCCACCTAGAGCAGAACTGTGGTCACGGTCGCTTTAGATCACATGAACTTCGATCTGACGTCCAGACTGAGGTCGGATTTCAAACAATCAGACTTGGATCTGATTTGGACCACATATGAAAGTGGCTCAAATCCGAACTGGAACAGATCAGTGTCTGCGTGACCTGTTCACACTGCCAGAAAAAAATCTGATTTGGGTCAGTTTGGTGTGCGGCCTGAATGCAGCCTTAGTTTCTGTCAGGTTAGTGCAAGCTAAGCTAGCTCAGATCTGTGTGGTCCCCTTTTCATTTCTGTAGTCAGTATTTATTTTGGTGTCATGTTTATTCTTCTGCTGATTTATATTATAAGCCTCTGATAAATAGAGCTACCTGCTGATGGAGCGATGGTGGTGAGGAAGTCGTCTCTCCTCTTCATCAGCCTCCTCTTCTTCTTCTCTAGATATGTTTCTGTCTTCCTCAGCTGCTGGATCACCTGCACCGCCTGCAACAAGACAACACCACCAGCTGTCAGCCGGTAACTAGAAACACGGAGTGTAACGCAGTCCAACCTGTAAAAAGAGCAGCAGGTGACTGGTGAAGACGGGAAAAAGAAACTAGACCTGCAAGTTAGGGATGCAGCAAATGTTTGGATGCTGAAATTACAGTCGTTTGCAAAAGTTTAGGTACCCCTGACAATTTCCATGATTTTCATTTATAAATAATTGGATGTTTGGATCAGCAATTCATTTTGATCTCAGAATCAACTTTATTGCCAGGTACGTGTCCACATACGAAGAATTTGACTCTGGATTGAATGCTCACGATGTGCTTAATCATACAACACCACAATAATAAAATATCTCCGACCCAGGCTACAGTGTAGACAACACATATATACACACTATGAACAAAATAGACAGATTGAGATAACAGTGCAGTGAGCAGAGTGCAAAGGATGCAGGACATTATTATTTACATGTCAGAGGTGGAGGTGATATACAGGTACACATAAATGTACACAGTGTGATGGAGCACAGTGCAAAGGATGTATCTACAGTATGACCGTATGAACAGCTCTGAAATAGAGAATGGTGAATAAATACTAAGTGGTAACCAGAAGGGCTGACTCCAAATAGTCAAAGATTCGATGCTTCGATGGGCGGAGCCTGATTCGACTGTCAATCTCACAGTCGAAGCATCGCAGCAAAACAAGGATCACGCCATTTTGGCGATATGGGGTGCTCAACGTCTGATTTTACATAGAACTACCAGTTTTCTCCCAATAAGTTAATATACAGCCTGTTACAATACATATTTCAATGTTTAATGCTGTAAATAAACATGTAAAAAGAAAAAAAAACTTCCAATAAATGTTTTTAAAGTGCGTGAATGAATCCAAACTTGTAATCCTAACCCTGGGTCGTCAGCATGTGTAAGCGTAGCCTGAGTGTGTGCAGTGGCAGCAGAGGAACACTTGCTGAAGAGATGGAGCTCCAGCTTCACTGGTGTTGTGCCGAGTTGTCCACACCTTGCGGGACTTTCGGATAATTTATCAAGGTTGATGAACCACACAAAGAACGGCTACTTGACTACTTGAAATAGACCCGCGAGGAACTGCGACGTGCAGGCAGCTGTCGGCAGCACGGCAAAAACTCTGCACAAGACCGGTGAATGGCAGGCGCGTGTGCAAGAGAGAGAGAAAAATACACGATTCGACTATCAGTCGACTACAGGCAGGACATGCTGATTCTGATTCGACTATGTAAATCCTTAGTCGGGGACAGCCCTAGTAACCAGTCAACAGGTGGCTGATTAGAGGCAGAGTTACCGGGTTATTGCACAGGAATTTGTTCCTGACACTGAGTCAGATTCAGCTGTTCATCAGAGTGAAGGCTTGTGGGAAGAAACTGTTCCTGAGTCTGTTGGTTTTGGCGTACAGTGCTCTGTAGCGCCTACCAGAGGGGAGGAGCTGGAACAGCTTGTGTCCGGGGTGAGATGGATCTGCAGTGATGTTTCCTGCCCGTTTCCTGACTCTGGAAACGTATCAGTCCTGAATGGAGGGCAGGTTGGCACCGATGAGCTTTTCTGCAGTCCTGACTGTCCGTTGCAGTCTGCTCCTGTCCTTTTTGGTGGCAGATCCAAACCAGACAGTGATGGAGGTGCAGAGCAGAGACTGGATGATGCCTGTGTAATCTATCAAATAACTGAAGGACTCAGTAATATTTCAGTAGTGAAATGAGGTTTACTGGATGAACAGAAAATCAAAACGAAAGTAGACAGGTGCATAAATTTGGGCCCCCCACAGAAATATCACATCAATATTTAGCTGAGCCTCCTTTAGCAGAAATGACGGCCTCTCGACGCCTCCTGTGGCCTGTAGTGAGTGTCTGGATTCTGGATTTCCTCCTTGCAAAACATCTCCAGGTCAGTTAGGTTTGATGTTTGCAGAGCGTGGACAGCCTGCCTCAAATCACCCCACAGATTTTCAGTGATATTCAGGTTTGGGGAACATTGTACTTGTTCCTCAAGTAGATTTTCAGCAGTGTTTTGGGTCGTTGTCTTGTTGAAACATCCAGCCGCGGCGTAATTTCAACTTTGTGACTGATTCCTCTATATTATTCTCCAGTATCTGCTGATCTTGAGTGGAATCCATGCGACCCTCAACTTTAACAAGACTCCATGATGGAACCTCCACCAAATGTTACTGTGGGTAGCAAGTGTTTGCCATCTTTGTTTCATCAGTCCACAGCACCTTCTTCCAAAATGAAGCTGGCTTGTCCAAATGTGCGTTTGCAGACCTCAAGCGACTCTGTTTGTGGCGTGCGTGCAGAAAAGGCTTCTTCCGCATCACTCTCCCGTACAGCTCCTCCTTGTGCAAAGTGCGCTGAATTGTTGAATGATGCACAGTGACACCATCTGCAGCCAGATGATGTTGGAGGTCTGTGGTGGAGGTCTGTGGGCTGTTGTTGACCGTTCTCACCATCCTTCACCTTTGCCTCTCTATTTGACTTGGCCTGCCACTTCTGGCCTTAACAAGAACTGTGCCTGTGGTCTTCCGTTTCCTCACTATGTTCCTCACAGTGGACACACTGACAGCTTGAATCTCTGCGATAGCTTTCTGTAGCCTTCCCCTAAACCATAATGTGTAAAATCTTTGTTTTCAGGTCATTTCACAGTTGTTTTGAGGCCCCCATGTTGTTTCAGAGGAGAGTCAAAGAGAATAACAACTTGCAATTGGCCACCTTAAATACCTTTTCTCACGATTGGATGCACCCGTCTATGACGTTCAAGGCTTAATGAGCTCACCAAACCAACCAGCCTAATGAGTCAAAAGACCGATTAAATTTTACAGTCAAGTTGACATGTCGACAGAGTGGAAGCATTTTAAGGTGTCCGAGCTGTTTGCAGAAGGTGTTCTGCTGAACTGTCTCGAGCACATCCACTGACTGGATGAATTTTGTGCGAGGAGGATGCACATGTGACAACGTCTGGTTTTCAAAATAAGGGGCCTGTACAGGATAGAAATAAAAAGTTAAAAGTAAATGGACTCATGTAATTTACTTTACCGGACCCCCTCAGGCCCCGGACCCCCCCACCATAGTCTTTCCACATCCTGTGCGAAACACAGAGGAAAAAGCTCATTTTGACTGTTTCATTTATGCAGTGGGAAAAAAAGGCAAAAGAAATAGAAAAACTCAAGTTCAGTTCAGGGACCGCGTGGATATAAGGTGTATTTTAAATGTGCAACGTGCTGTGTGGGAGTTAGAGGCCAAAACACGTTCACCTTGATAATAACGCCACCACTTCTGTCTGAGGTGTCTGCAGCAGCGCCGAGAATTTCACTGACATACGTTTCTACTCAGAGAAGCTTAAAGAAGCTGAACTAGTGTTTGAGCGAGTCGGACCTTCGTCAGCGTGGACACCTTAGACGTCCTCTCCTGGCTCAGTCCCACTTCTCTCCTCAGACCTTCGAACAGCTGCCACATCTTCCTTCGACGCTGCTTCTCCAGCGCGTTGTGATTTAAGCGCTGCAGACAAACAACAACAGCAGAAAGTGAGCTCAATATTTTCAGCAAAGCCGAGGAAAGCCACGTTGTGAAAATACCAACAGTAAACCAACCAGTAAAACTTCACCAAAGTAAAAGCACAGAAGCATCTAGATGTAAATGAGTATCACAGGATGTTTGAGACTGGTGGGTGGAGCTCGGAAAGAAATTTAATCTGTGCTCTAGCAAACCATTTCATCAGAAACACGTACAGATGTAAACGCTGATGAGCCAGTGAAATGTTTTTCCAGCAACCCGAAGTCAAAGAATAAAGTAGTGTTTGTTTTAATGGACTCCTGTAACCTGTTTAATACTTCCTGTGAAGATAATCCAGTTAATCTTGTTTCCATGCTGTAAATACGCTTCGAAAGTAATTAAGAGTGAATCTGAGCAGGTCCAGAGCAGAACCCGGGAGAGCCGGACGGGGGTCCGGGTAGAGCAGACGGGATGAGCGCTATGTTACTATGAACATTTCACTTTTACCTTTTATTATAGCAACTAAACGCTCTTCTTCTACAATCGGCCTAATTTAATGATTTAACTGTGTTCATCATGTTAATTTCATCTGTAAAATGATCCTCTCAGTTTAAAGAGCTCCCACAGGGCTCAGCTTCATCTTCTTTGGCCTTTGATGGGAGCGTTATGTTCACTGCTGTGAGCGGAGGTCAGGTGCAAAGAAATAAACTTTGAATATCGAATGTCTGCCCACAGATCCGCCCTGGTTTTAATAACACCTTGTTCTGAAAGCTGGACGTTGTCACAAGTCTGGCGCAGCTCGGTTAGTCTCGTATCGTGTAACGTTCAGACTTGAGCAGCTCAGAGCAGCAAAACACGTCACAGGTCTTTAATGTTCTTATGAGACGAGAAAAAATAAGTTCAGTTCATTTTGAAACTGTATTTAATGTGAAATACTGCAGTAAGTAAAAGTGCTGCGCTGCCGTGTTACTGATCAGATTTGATCAACTTCTGTTTGTAAAATCTTGATTTGAAAAGAAACTAATGTGAAAAGTAAAATTTCTATGTCTGAGTTGTGGCGGAGTAGAATTAGAAAGACTACAGCAAAAGTACCTCAGAATTATACTTCAGCCCAGTACTAAAACCCGCCGTGTGGGCGACCCTGAACCCCTCTGCTGGTTTTACTGTGACAGATTTTAAAAGCTTCCTCTTACGTGGACGCTTACGACCTCCCCCGTCTCTTCTCCGCTCTCCGTCTCTTCCGTGAAGTCTGACGAGTTCTCCGTCTCGCTGCTCGAGGACGCCTCCACATCCACCGTGTCCGACGGCCGCTTGGCCCCGCCCTCTGTCTCCGTCGTGGTAAAGAGCCCCGTCTTGTCGTCCACGCAGATGATGTCCAGGTCCACCAGGCCGCAGGCCGGCTCCGGCTCAAGGCTGAACCTGTCAGCAGGGGGGTACGGCGGGGGTCCGGGTGTGGCCCCTGACCCGGACCGTGCTGGAGCAGGAGGGCATGGCGGTCTGTGTGCGGCCCCTGCAGGGGTCTGGATGTTGGTGGTTTGTGGTGAAGCAGGTTTCTCCTGGAATTTAGGAGCCACAGGGGCCGCAGACACCGCCGCCGTTCTGACCCCAAGCTCGGCCCTCGCACCTGCGGAGGTGTTGAGGGAGACGAGGTTCATCGGGGGGGCGGGGGGCTGGAGGACGGTGAAGGCGCCGGCGGCAGTCACCACTTTGATGGGGGGTCGGGGGGGCAGTTTAGGGCAGGTGACGACAATGGGTTCCTTTCTGGAGGCGGCGGGGATGATTTTAAAGGTGCACGTCCCCTTCTGGGCCAGGAAACCAGAGGCGGGCCGGAGCGGGGACGAGAGGGGGGCCACGGAGAAGGACTGGAGGCCAGACAGGGAGGAGAAGGAGGGGGAGGGGCCGGTGGAGGTTGTCACTGTGGTCAGAGGGCGTGTTTGGTTCCCAACAACAGCGGCGACTGCAGGCTCACGAGGTGCAGCAGGGAGGACCGAGGGGGAGGGGGCACCTGGAGGGGGAGGAGACAGAAAGAGGGGGGAGGAGTCAGTCACTGGTTTACAGCGAATCATGTCGGTGCTTTCTATCAGCAGTACTCAGTAAGAGTAGTGACAGCGCCACAATGTACAAATACTCTGATGCAAGTAAAAGTCCTGCATTAGAAAGAATACTTGAGTCAAAGACCAAAGTATTAGTTAATTATTGTACCGACGGGGCCCCAGCGGTCCTTCACCCTGCTCTTCCAGTGCAGGAACTTTACCCAGAAACCTCTGGAGGAACTTTAAGTCGAGCATGTCGGGTGTTTTGAATCTGCTTTTCTGTTACTGCTCGTCTCTTCGTGCGGCTCGTCCTGCGCTGACGGAGTTCAGCTGAATTCCTGCTCTGGAGTTCATGTTTTAAGTTTTCATCAGAAGGTTTCTACACCTTCCTTGTGGACAGTGACGCCCGTCCGTCAGCTGGTTGGTTTGCCGGGTTGTGTTCAGACCGCGGTGGAAACGCTCACAGTATGTGTCCTCACTAACCGCAGCTTTAACGCCCCCCCCAGTCCTGTACTCACCTCTGGTTCTGAGCTGGCTGATGGGAACCAGTTGGACCAGTTTACCGTCCGGTCTGCGGTAGTACTGAAGGCCTGACGCTGCCTGGACCGGCTGCAGCACCATCCTCTGACCGGTGGAGGGGGGCAGCGGGGGGCCGGGAGCCGGGCCCGGTACGGGAAGCTTCCTGTGAGGGCCCGGGACCTGAACCATCAACAGCTGAGGGCCTTTAGAAGCCGGATTTCCAGGTGGAACCACCGAGCTGCTCACCTGACAGTCTGAAACACACCAGACCAGATGGATCACGGGTTATTTATTAGAGTCTCAACCTGAGGGGCAGGACCCGTCAAGGGGTCACGAGAGACACCCGGCTAAACGAGTCCAGCAGCACGTGTTTCACATAAACTCAGAAAGTCTGAAACACGGTCACCATTTATATTTTTTAAAGATGTTTTTCGTTCCCACACAACAATTAAACATGACCGGACGGATTAAATATTTGAAGTCTCTGCAAGATGGTTCTCTCTCACAGAAGTGAAGCGAAATCAATATCTGAAAAGTTATAAACGACAGGAGGACGTTCATCTAGACTAAAGGTTTCCAAACGAAGACACAAATATCTGATCAGATAAATAAAAATAAGAGTTTCACCAGATGATTACTGAATCTCCTTTTTCGCCATTTCCAGGGAATGCAGTTTGCTTGTTGATGATCTGTAATTTAGCCTTTTCTGTTTAAAACAATTATTTTCCTTTTCACATCTCCATGAATGTGTTGATCACTTTAAAATATCACGCTTGCTGCCCAGCCACTATTTTTACCTGCCTCTTTTATTACGGGCATCCTAGAATGATTGTGGCAGCAACACGGAGCAGCTCGTTGTTGAAGCACACAGAGGAAGCTGAGCGTCGTGCGTAAACCAGGACTGTTTTATCCGCCCTATTTTCTCTCTGTGCATCTCCAAAATGACTGTTGACTGTGAATAAATAACAGCTGGCAGCTGCTGAGTGAAAGTTAGTTTCACCGGCGACATCCTGTTTACGGACTCACCGTCGGACATCGCTAAATGTTTGCATCTGCCCAGCTCTGTGCTGTGAGAAGCGCCCGACCAGCGCTGATCAGCCTAACAGCGCGCAGCCTGGCTGGCGGCTCATTTCGGTTAACGAAGCCTAGGTATGAAAGAAAACTGTAGCGAAATTAAAAGTACATTACCGGCCCACAGAAAATACTGAGTAAAGAGTAAAAGTAGGCTGCAGTTTTAAAAAGGTGAATGTGAAAAGGTGACTTATTATTATTTATTTATTTATTTAGTAACAAGTTAGTCCGGTTAGTAAGAGCAGCACAAAAGAAACGTAATATTGAGGCGCTTTGCTGCAGCTGCCTCCAGCGAACTTTTCAGCACCACCTTTGCCTCCTGTCTCCTTTTCTACGGGCCTCCCTGATTTTTGTCCGTTACATCATGAATGTAACTGCACGAACGGAAAGAGGACGAGAAACTTTTCTTTCTGCTCTGTAAATAATATAAATCTACTTTTGATTTATAAATTAATCCTGTAGCACATAAACACATGCTGGAATATAACTTCACTTTTTTATTTATTTGCAGATAAACTATTGGTCACTGATCTAAATATATAGATAATAAAAACTTCTGTGATGGTGATTCTGTTAATAAATGGTCTTTCGTATTACCTGACGGGGGGCGGAGCTGACAAAGGCTGAAGGTACCACTTTGACCTGATTGGCCCCTCCCGTAGGACCCGGGAACACTGTCACAGTGACGACCCGGGACTCAGGCGCTTCCCCCGCGGGCTGGTCAGAGGAAGCAGCCGATTGGCCGACCTTCACTGCTGCAGGCTGAAGCCCTGTGACACACAGACGGTCGGTTTGAGGCGTTAAAGCAGCGGCTGCTGTTGTTAGAGAGCACTTGGGACCCCAGCCTTTACTTTTGGGACCCCAGCCTTTACTTTTGGGACCCCGGCCTTTACTTTTGGGACCCCGGCCTTTACTTTTGGGACCCCGGCCTTTACTTTTGGGACCTGGCCTTTACTTTTGGGACCCCGGCCTTTACTTTTGGGACCCCAGCCTTTACTTTTGGGACCCCGGGCCTTTACTTTTGGGACCCCGGCCTTTACTTTTGGGACCCCAGCCTTTACTTTTGGGACCCCGGCCTTTACTTTTGGGACCCCGGCCTTTACTTTTGGGACCTGGCCTTTACTTTTGGGACCCCGGCCTTTACTTTTGGGACCAGGCCTTTACTTTTGGGACCAGGCCTTTACTTTTGGGACCAGGCCTTTACTTTTGGGACCAGGCCTTTACTTTTGGGACCAGGCCTTTACTTTTGGGACCAGGCCTTTAACTTGAGGAAGTACGATAAAGAATTGTGCGTTCACCTGTGGAGGAGGTCTGAGGCCTGGGTGGGGGGGCGGCAGCGAGGCCAGACACCACAGAGGTATCTGAGGACACGGTGATCAGGGTCGGTCCTGGACTCTGGTTCTGAGGAGGTTTAGAGGGGGAGGAAGAGGAAGGAGAACCTTGTTGGTTCCTGTTGGAGCCCACCCGGCCGGTGAGATAGGCTGCCAGTCTGTTCGCAGGATGGAGCGCCCCCATCTTCCCCAACTGGATCTTAGCCAGAGGATAGAGCTTCCCGTTCACCTGCAGCAACAGAAGAGAACATCACAGATCTGACATCTCTCTGGATTTAAACTTTCAGTGATTCTGGAGTCAGATCTGAAGAGAAAACAGAAAATGAAGCACTCAGGTGACAACATGTTGAAAGGAGTTTCTGAGTGTCAGGGCTGAACGATTTGGGGAAAAATAAATAAATAAATAAAAAAATCGAACTGCGATTTTTCTGCCTGTTATTGAGTTTACGATTCGATTTTCGATTGTTGTACTGAAGTTCAGCTAAAGTTCAATATTCACTGCCAGTCTGTTTTTGACGGAAGCTGCGTCAAGCAGCACAGAGCAGATGAACCAGGCAGGAAGTCAGCCACAGAACGGCATAGAGAACCCGGTTTTCAAAATAAAACACCCTTTGCAGACTCCCGATCATATATCAACTTTAAACACAGTTAAACCGACAAAAGGAAGAAACTACGTAGCTACTTAACCACGGCAGAAGTCAAGCAGCAAAATCAAGCTGCGATCTGCAGCTGAAGCACACAAAGAGACACATTAACAACGTGCAGGCTGAACGCCGCGCTGCCGAAACACGGCAGTGTGAGTTGATGCCGGACAAAACTGCAGCGACAGCTGCCGCCTGAGTCGGTTCGGCTGGCGCCATTATCGCACGTTATCCTCTAGTTTGGTTTGTGGTAAAATGTGCACGCCCTGTGCTCGCTCTGATTGGTGGGTAGGACCTTAACAGCAGGCGCATGGCGAGTAGGTCAGATGTATAAATTAACCTACATTTTAATCGCAGTCCTCACAATGAGCTAATGGCGTTCTTTCAAACTGAAAACGATTAATCGTTCAGCTCTACTGCGTGTAAATAACCAGATCTTCCATCTACTGATGAGGACAGAGACGCCGCAACTGAAGCGTCATTTAAAGTGTCGGCCGAGGTGAACGAGTTTATCTGTGGGTGGAGTTTACTCAGTCGTCATAGAGATCGGGGGGGCGGTTCAAAGTGGATTATTTAGATTCTTTTTTATTATTTTTGTCTAATTTTAATTTGATGAACTCCACAAACTGTCTGAATGTTCAGGAACCTGCGGTAAACCCACATGTGGCGTTCTTACCTGGACCGTGTGCTCTGTTGCCCCCTGCTGCTTCCTGTTGGCTGAGAGGAAGCCGGCGGGCGAGATTCCCGTCAGGAAAGGCAGAGCCATGCTGACCCTCTCCTCCTTCGACCTCAGCTTTGCTCTCTCTCCCCCATCATGCACCTGGTGAGCTGTTGATCCTGCCTCTTCCTCGATGTCACCGTCCTCCACCTCTCGCTGCCAGTCTTCGAGAGGCTCCGCCTCTTCCTCCTCCACCTCTCGCTGCCAGTCTTCGTAGGGCTGCGCCTCCCCGAGCACCTGTTTGAGGCGTTCCTGCTGAGAGACACGAGGTAAATGTTACAGATCAGTCATCGTGTTGTCAACACTGACGGCTGCAGAGTCACATGATATAGAACATGTGACACATTGCATCGTGGGATTGCTTCCAGGCAGTGGAGGACCACAGATTCTTGCTACCTGCTGCTGTAGGGAAACTCAGCTATTTAACCTCTGAGGTTAAATAGCTGAGTTTCCCTGCCAGTCAGTCAGAACTGAAGAAGTCCTTTGGATAAGGGACGAAACGTCTTCCAGTAGCTTCAACCAAGTCCAGTTGCCCTTCATTTTAACCTTCGTTGGATAACTATGACCTGGATGACTGAGAATCTTCATAGATACCTGCTGCTGGTTTGTCTCCTTCTGGTTTTCTGGCTGTGCTGGTTGTTCCTGGTCCTGTTGGGGTCTGGAGATGTGGATTTTGTACTGGATGCAGCTGTCAGCGCCGCTCTCCTCCTGCGTCTGGCTGATCGGACTGATGAGGTACTTTCTGATCCAGAAGGGTCGGTTCAGTTGGTCCATAGCCATCGCCTCGCACAGCTTCTTCAACACGTGGTTCCGGTCGGCGTCGCTCAGCCACTTACATTCCGCCAAGATGATCAGACGCTTTGACGGCTTCGGCTCCGCCGGAGGGGTGGCGGGCCGGCCGGAGGGCACCGGCTGGACCGGTTCACCTGCTGAAGGAAAACCCAAAACCTGAATCAGTTTCCAAAAAAGTCCAGACGGTCCGTTTCATAAAAATCAGTCACCACGGAGAGTGATGCTCCAGATTATTATTATTATTCATTAACGTCGTCACACAGGAGAAGATCAGCTGATCCGAGTCTCTCAGGTCTAAACCAGCTCCATGAAGCAGGCTGATCCTGGTTCAGTTTGCTGGGTTCATTCAAGACACAGTAAGAACTGCTTTGTGATGGGATGGCGGCGTTGATGTCACTGAACCCACCTGGGGGAGGAGGTGGGGGTGCTGCCTCTGTGTCCCTGAGTGTCAGGTCTCTCTGTTTCAAAGCTTTCAGCCGAGCGCCGTTAGACTTCAGGCCGTTAGACGGATCCTGCAGGACAAACATCAGACGGTCAGTAAAAGCAGATCTTTAGGGACATGAACTGGGACGGTGTTTCCCACGCATAGACGACGCCCGCCCAGGTGCGTTGACGGCGTCCCGCCCAGGTATGTTAACACCCAGGTGTATTAACGACCTGGTGTATCAACCGCGTCCCGCCCAGGTGTATCAACGCCCAGGTGTATTAACAGTCGCTCAGGTGTATTAACAGTCGCTCAGGTCTATTAACAGTCGCCCAGGTGTATTAACAGTCGCTCAGGTGTATTAACAGTCGGCCAGGTGTATTAAGTTTATAAAACATCCCGCTGATGCAGGAAGTCAGCTGACACACAGAAGGGGGCGGGGTCAGCAGGTGTGTTTATGCGTATATTTCCTCTGTTAATGTGAAGACTTAACGGCCATCTTTTAATCTGCTGACTCCTTCCTGGTGATCCGGCGTCTCGGTGCTGCTAACTGTTAATGTGGCAGCTACAAACCAGCTGGACCTGACAGCAGCTCTTAGAGTGCGCCGACCTTCCTACCACCTTCCTACTAAATGAAAAACACAGACCAATCAGGAGCTTTACCCTCTGCTTCCTGGTCTTCTTCTTCTTCTTCTTCCCCGTGTAACCTCTGACCCGGGCACAGCTGCTGTCGTCCTCTCTCCTCTTTTGGAAACAAACAGAATCAGACTGATCAAAGAACTAAAACACAAACATCATCTGCTACACAGACGAAAGACTGAGTCCTTACGGCGGGCCGGGACAGAGATGCTGGCTCAGGGATGTGGACCGGGTCTGGATCCGAGTCTCCAACGTCCCTCTTCCACAGAGTCCGGACGCGCTCGGCAGGCTGGGAGACGGTGTCCGCCTCCTTCAGAACTAGGAGCGGTGAGAAACCAGGCAGCAGGTGAGCATTTCATTTCATCAGATCCAGCAGCTGATTTATTTATTCTGTCTTTACAGTCCACAAACATGTGAGAGATGGCGCCGACTGCCACGGCACGCCATTTCTATGGTGGCGTCTCTGCTTGTTAATAACACTGAATCATCGCTGGTTCATGAGCGCCAGGCACTTTTCGATATCTGGGATTCTTTTGGGAGCTTTCGCATGTTGAGGGTGGACATGGTGCAAATCCTCCACCTCTTCCTGGTTACGGTACCAGAGGAGCTTCGCCGCCGGGAGTCAACTTTCCTGCCCCGGGTGAGATCTCGCAGGACACGCCGGCGAGCTCGCGGTACACGTTCTAGTCAGAGTGTGAAGTTAAATGCACGGCTGGGAAGGACTTACATGGACCCGTGTGTTGGTACTTGCTATAATCATCTGGATTTGGCGTTTTCAACCCGTTTACCCGGCGGGCCCCGAGTCCGGTCAGCTGTTGCAGCCCTGTTGGACTGGGGGAGGCGGTTGCATTGCGTCGCCGGTCGATGCGGGAACAAAAGGTCCAGATCGCTCTTCTGAACGTCCGGTCTAACATTAAATATTTGAATTCCCACGCTCTAGATTTTCTGCTCATGACCAAGACGTGGGTGCGTGAGGGTGACGAATCGCCACTGATGGAACTTTGTCACGCTTTAGATTTAGTTTGAAGCTGTGGTTTGTCGGTGTCAGTTAATAATTCAGTGCTTTACCAATTTCAGATCACTCGCTGACGTTATTTGACATTTCTATCCCTAATTCATGTAGCGCAGGGAAAATGGTGCCGAAGACAAGATATTAGCGCTAGTGCTTTAAATGACCTTAACTTGAACCAACCAGATGTGATGGATCCAGGTTTTAGCCTTTTCTGCCTCACAGACAACTTTATGGTGGACTCTGGGATTTGTTGGCACGGGGCGCTCCAGCTAAGACACGGAAGTGTCCTCTAAAAAATCTTACACCTTGGCTAAATGAGGAGCTACCGACTCTCAGAAGCAGCTGCTGAAAGGTTGAGCGTCAGTGGCGCCATACTGAGCTTGGAGTTCATTATCGGCACGGCACGCCCGCCAGTCTGCGGCACAGGCAGCTTCTTCTAATGCGATTCTGAATAATAAGCATCACCCTAGACTTCTATTAGGACTGTCGATAGACTTACACAGCAGCCAGTAAGTAGCACGGATCTGTCAGCACGTGATTTATGACGTATTTTCATGAGAGATTGAGGACGTCCGAACTTCGACATCCCAGTCAGATGTCGGGGGATCAGACTGCGCTACCACCATTTTCTACAGGACGGCGCCGATTTCTTTGGCTGAACTAAAACTGTTGTGACTGCGAGACGAACCACTTGCTCTCTGGATCCCTCGCCTGAAGTATGGCCAACATTAGGACTGTATGTTTCAGCTCTTTTAAACCTTTCGCTTTTTTTTCAGGCTTGCTTCAAATCTGCGGTGGAAGAAACCAAATCTGGATATAAACTCGAAAAATTATAGAGCTGTTTCTAATTTGGCCTTCTTATCTAAAGTGGTCTCAAATCAGCTTTTAAAATTTCTCTCATCTACTAATCTTTTTGAGCCGCTGCAGTCTGCTTTTCTACAGAAAGGCGGTAAACGCTCTGTTACTGGCTGCTGACACAGACTTAACGTCGGTAAACAGAAAACGTCCTGCTACTCAAGAGAAGAGATGATAGCTGTGGGACCAGCTAGATTAGGTCATTTGTATGACAAAGTTACTCTCCATTGATGATTCGGTCATTCATTGCGAGGAGAGAGAGTAAAGAATCTCGGGGTCGTTTCTGATCGATCACTTTTGTTTGATTTGCATATTAAAGAAGTATTGGTCCTTAAAGATGCCGGGGCCCTTATTCCTGCCTTTCTTACATCTAGGCTGGATCACTGTAACGTTCTGTTCTCTGGGCTGCCTAAGAGAAGTCTGCGAGGTCTGCAGATGGTCCAGAATGCTGCAGCTCATATTCTGACTGGATCGTGCAGTAACTGCTGTGCCTGTTCAGGTTAGAGCAGACTTTAAGGTTTTGTTGTTCTATCTGTCTGATCTTGTAAATTCTTATGTGCATACACGGGTGCTGCGCTCCCACGGGACATGACCTCTGACTGTACCAAAGGTTAGGAAGAAAACGAGCCTTTTCCTTTCCTGCTCCAACATTAACGCCAACAACCGGCAGAAACTAGGCCGACGTGTTCAGGTTTTCAAATCAAAGCTTAACACCTTCTTCTGCACTTTACTAGCAGTTTGATTGAAATAAATGTATTATTATTACTACTATTATGTAGAAACAGTCAGCGTGAGCAGAGTGGATCACACACAGAAGGTGTATTTTATCTGAATGGAAACAGCAGCTGGTTAGCCTAGCTTAGCATAAAGACTGGAACCAGGGGGAGACAGCGAGCAGACGTCCCCTGCAGGACGAGTCTGAGGCTTCATAAAGGTGGTGCAGGTGGTGTACTCACCGTAGGCCATCTTCATCCTCCTCTTCCTCTTCCTCTTCTTGTTGTTGTCGTGGCGCGAGGGGCTGGAGTCGGACCCGTCCAGGTTCTTGAGGATGACCACCTTCTGTTTGAGGCAGCTGCAGCCCAGCATGCAGTGCGGCCGGCCGCAGTGGCTGCCGGTGGAGCGGTGTGCCAGGCTGGAGCAGACGCATCCCAGCCTGCAGAACTCGTTCAGGCAGGGAGGGGCCCGTCTCCGGACCAGCTGGATGGGAGCGGTCGGGTTCTCGCTGACAAAACCCTGAGGAGAAACCAGAGGGGCGGAGTCAGGGTACGGCACATGAACCAGGGCGGCTACAGTGAGGACTGTGTTAACACGTTTAAAGGTAACGCACGTGTACACGTCTAAATGAAGTACCAAAAGTACAAGTACGCATTATGCAGAATGGTACTCACTAGTAGTAATACCACAGTGAAGTACTGAATGTAAAATTTTACTTAAGTAAAAGTACAAAAGGAAGTCCTCCTAATTATTTTATTCTTATTTCAGAATAATGTAGATTATATTTATTGAAACTGAAGGAATTCTTTTTCCTTTTTCTTCTTTTCTGCAAATGAATATTTGGGGGAATAATTTCCCCCGACCACTGAAATTATTTAAAAAGGTAAACAGAAGAGGAGCTGTGCATAAAAACCTCATAAAAATTAAAACCACAAGAGCAATAGTGCAAACGAATAGGAAAATTAAATGTGGACTCTTAAACATCAGATCTCTCTCTTCTAAAAGGTGTACTAGTAAATGAACTAATATCAGATTATGATATTATTAGCCTAAATGAATCCACCCCTCCCAGTCATATTAATACTCACATTCCTCGAGGCACAGGCCGAGGAGGTGGAGTTGCAGCTATCTTCCACTCTACCCTACTAATCAGCTCTAAACCTAAATTAAACTATAACTCATTTGAAAGCCTTGTTCTTAGTCTTTCGCACCCAAGTTGGAAATCACTGCAACCAATTCTTTTCGTTATAGTGTACAGAGCACCTGGCCCGTACTCTGAATTCTTATCTGAATTTGCAGAGTTTTTGTCAACTTTAGTCCTTAAAAGTTTAAGTTGATGGGATTAGTTTTCCAGTAGGACGAGTTAAAGGACCGAGCTTGTAAATCACCGAAAATGACCTTTAAATTCAAAATGGCTGACTTCCTGTTGGGTTTAGGGCATCGCTCCCAGAGGCTTTTTTGTAGGTCTGGAACAATCAGGAAGCTTCCGGTCAGAGAACTGAGGCGGACGTGGAAGAACCTTAACCTGCATTCTCTCCAGCAGCCAGCAGGGGGCGACTTAAACCTGCGTCCTCTCTAGCAGCCAGCAGGGGGCGACTTAAACCTGCGTCCTCTCTAGCAGCCAGCAGGGGGCGACTTAAACCTGCGTCCTCTCTAGCAGCCAGCAGGGGGCGACTTAAACCTGCATTCTCTCTAGCAGCCAGCAGGGGGGGCGACTTAAACCTGCGTCCTCTCTAACAGCCAGCAGGGGGGGCGACTTAAACCTGCATTCTCTCTTGCAGCCAGCAGGGGCCCTCCAAAATCAATCATCTTGTTGATAGTGCTGCAGGCTCGCTGCGAATGACACTCGACTCTGTAGCCCCGCTAAAAAATAAAATACTAAAACAAAGACGGTTAGCTCCATGGTATAATACTGAACTCGCAAATTAAAGCAAATATCACGGAAACTTGAGAGGAATTGGCGTTCCACCAAAGTGGAAAATTCTCGTTTAATTTGGCAAGATAGTCTTAAACTTATAGGAAGGCCCTCCGTAATGCCAGAGCAGCGTACTACTCGTCATTAATAGAGGAAAATAGGAACAACCCCAGGTTTCTTTTCAGCACTGTAGCCAGGCTGACAGAGAGTCACAGCTCTATTGAGCCAAGTATTCCCATAGCTCTCAGTAGTTACGACTTCATGAGCTTCTTTAATGATAAAATTCTAGCTATTAGAGACAAAATTGGCACCGACTTATCTCTTAACTCAGGAACCTTAGAAACAGCTGTAGAACCAGATACATGTTTAGACTGTTTTGCTTCACTCAGTCTTTACCAACTAACTTCAATAATTTCTTCATCTAAACCATCAACCTGCCTCTTAGACCCCATCCCGACTAGGTTGCTTAAAGATGTTTTACCCTTAGTCAGCACCTCTATACTAGATATGATCAATCTATCTTTATCAACAGGCTATGTACCACAGTACTTTAAAGTAGCTGTAATTAAACCTCTTCTGAAAAAGCCCAAACTTGATCCGGATGTTTTAGCCAACTATAGACCTATATCTAACCTTCCATTTCTCTCTAAGGTTCTGGAGAAAGCAGTTGCTAAACAGCTGTGTGACTTTCTACAGAGCAATAGTTTATTTGAGGATTTTCAGTCAGGATTTAGAGCTCATCATAGCACAGAGACAGCACTGGTGAAAATTACTAACGACCTCCTTATTGCATCAGACAAAGGACTTGTCTCTGTACTGGTTTTATTAGATCTTAGTGCTGCATTTGATACCATTGACCATCAGATCCTATTGCAGAGACTGGAATATTTCATTGGCATTAAAGGAACCGCTCTAAGCTGGTTTAAGTCCTATTTATCAGATCGATTTCAGTTTGTACATGTTAACATGAGTCCTCCATGCACGCCAAAGTTACTCATGGAGTTCCTCAAGGATCTGTCCTTGGACCAATCCTCTTCACTTTATATATGCTTCCTTTAGGCAATATTATTAGGAAACATTCCATAAGCTTTCATTGTTATGCAGATGATACTCAGTTATATCTATCGATCAAACCAGATGAAACTCATCAGTTAGCTAAACTTCAAATGTGCCTTCAGGATGTTAAAACCTGGATGACCTGTAATTTTCTCATGTTAAACTCAGATAAAACTGAAGTTATTGCTCTGGGGCCTAAGCACCTCCGTGACGCATTATCTAAAGATATAGTTTCCCTGGATGGCATCACCTTGGCCTCCAGCACCACTGTGAGGAATCTTGGAGTTATCTTTGATCAGGACATGTCGTTTAAGTCTCACATTAAGCAAATTTCAAGGACCGCCTTTTTTCACCTACGTAATATTGCGAAAATCAGGAACATCCTGTCTAAAAATGATGCAGAAAAACTAGTCCATGCATTTGTTACTTCTAGGCTGGATTACTGCAATTCCTTATTATCAGGCTGCTCGAAAAAGTCCGTTAAGACTCTTCAGCTGATCCAGAATGCTGCAGCACGTGTTCTGACAGGAACCAGGAAAAGAGATCACATTTCTCCTGTTTTAGCTTCTTTGCATTGGCTTCCAGTAAAATCCAGAATAGAATTTAAAATCATTCTTCTTACCTACAAAGCTCTTAATGGTCAGGCACCATCTTATCTTAAAGAGCTCATAGTACCTTACTACCCCACCAGAGCACTGCGCTCCCAGAATGCAGGGTTACTTGTGGTTCCTAGAGTCTCCAAAAGTAGACTAGGAGCCAGAACGTTCAGCTATCAAGCTCCTCTCCTGTGGAACCAGGTTCCAGTTTGGGTTCAGGAGGCAGACACCATCTCCACATTTAAGAGTAGGCTTAAGACTTTCCTCTTTGATAAAGCTTATAGTTAGGGCTGGCTCAGGTGAGTCCTGAACCATCCCTTAGTTATGCTGCTATAGGCCTAGACTGCCGGGGGATTTCCCATGATGCACTGAGCTCCTCTCTCCTCTACTTTCTCTCCCTCTGTATGCAACCTCATCCCATTATTGCATGTTACTAACACAACTTCTCCCCTTTCTGGTAGTCTTGTGCTTTCTCGTCCCTCTCCTCTCTCCTCCTATCACTTCCTGCAGGTGTTTCTGGCTCTGGAGCTGTGGAGTCTGGATCTGTGGTTGCGGGTCACCTGCTGCCCCCGTGTTCCTGCTCGACACCCTCTGCTGCAACGACTATTGTTGCTAGTCCTATTATTATTATTATAATCATTAACATTACGATTGTTATCATTAACACTACTATAAATATCTGTACCATTTTTCATTTAGGCTAAAGCAACATCACCTTTACTGTCTGTACCTCTGTGTGGATATTGTGTAGGCTGCCTCCCTCTCTCTCTCTCTCTCTCTCCCTCTCTCTGCTGGCCGCTAGAGAGGACGCAGGTTTAAGTCGCCCCCTGCTGGCCGCTAGAGAGGACGCAGGTTTAAGTCGCCCCCTGCTGGCCGCTAGAGAGGACGCAGGTTTAAGTCGCCCCCTGCTGGCCGCTAGAGAGGACGCAGGTTTAAGTCGCCCCCTGCTAGCCGCTAGAGAGGACGCAGGTTTAAGTCGCCCCCTGCTGGCCGCTAGAGAGGACGCAGGTTAAAGTCGCCCCCTGCTGGCCGCTAGAGAGGACGCAGGTTAAAGTCGCCCCCTGCTGGCCGCTAGAGAGGACGCAGGTTTAAGTCGCCCCCTGCTGGCCGCTAGAGAGGACGCAGGTTTAAGTCGCCCCCTGCTGGCCGCTAGAGAGGACGCAGGTTTAAGTCGCCCCCCTGCTGGCCGCTAGAGAGGACGCAGGTTTAAGTCGCCCCCCTGCTGGCTGCTAGAGAGGACGCAGGTTTAAGGCGCCCCCTGCTGGCCGCTAGAGAGGACGCAGGTTTAAGTCGCCCCCTGCTGGCCGCTAGAGAGGACGCAGGTTTAAGGCGCCCCCTGCTGGCTGCTAGAGAGGACGCAGGTTTAAGGCGCCCCCTGCTGGCCGCTAGAGAGGACGCAGGTTTAAGTCGCCCCCTGCTGGCCGCTAGAGAGGACGCAGGTTTAAGTCGCCCCCTGCTGGCTGCTAGAGAGGACGCAGGTTTATCAGACGATAATGATTGAAACATTGTTTTTTCACCGTTTTAACTCCGAAACCCGCCGATGTTGTTGCTCCGAGTCTAAGCGGGCGCCATCTTGATTATTGCGCAATACCTGCAAGCTGCCTGCCTGCTGTCATCTTTTCTGCAGAGAGGAAACATGCCGCTTGAGAACATACGGTGCTTTTTGCCATTTTGTGGCCAATGCGTTGGAGATATATAGACATGCAGGGTATCAAATGAAAGGTCTGCTCAAGCCGGATCGATTGATACCCCCCCCTCCATCACTGTGGAGTTCCATTCTAAATCTACAGGCCTGTAAAGCATGGGAGTGCTTTTGGTGACAGGAATGTTGATGAATACTCCTGTTTTTATCAATATTGCAATGTTTTGTCATTTGGAAATAGGTTGTATGGACTGAAAAAGTGTTTTAAAGATATCTATCAATATAAGTCAGCATTTTAACAATAAATATTGCTAAATATATATATGAAAATGTATGATAACTGTTTGTTTTCATCAGATTTACAGTTACAATTGCATTCTAGGTGTATTAGAAAATATTCAGTTGCATTAAAAGCTAACTCAGGATGGTTTTGATGGTTTATTGCATCAAAGTATAGTTTTTTTTTTACCAGGCAAGTCAGCCATTTTGAATTTAAAGGTAATTTTCGGTGATTTACAAGCTCGGCCCTTTAACTCGTCCTACTGGAAAACTAATCCCATCAACTTAAATCTTTCGCCACACATTCTGAAGGCTTTGCTGATGAACAATTGTGCTATTTGGGAGGTTTCGCCAATGGGCGTATCCGTGGCATCGACGATCAATGATTCACCATTAAACAGGACATTTACATGCACGGAAAGAGTCCCGCCCTGAACACATCTACATGCCAACATTCAGTTATATTTATAGCACCATCTACAGGCAACAAGAAGTGAGCTCTGTGTCTCATGTGTTTTACATCAAGTTTTCAGCGCGTTCCACACTTGACGTACTGTTACACAACGTTAAGTTACCAAGTGCTCTATAGCGCCACATAGGGGTCACAGGAAGTGACATTTAAGTCCTTTTTGGAGAAGGGCCCGGTTGGGGACTGTAGCTTAGGGGGCGTGGTGTGAGCGTGGTTCTCGGTGTAGGTCAAAGTTCATCAGACTAGAAGGCGGGGGCGAGGGGACGAGGGGCGCAGCGTGAGCGCGGGACAAGAACAAATTGAGCGAGAGACTTTAATTATAATTTCACTCTTTATGCTAATGCTATAATGCCCTGTGTATTTGTATATAATATTGTGCTTTAAATAAAGTTTTTCTTTAAATCAAGGGCTTATGTCAACTACAATGTTCACACAAGCGTGGTACATATTGCATGTGCAGAACCGACCATGTGCTGCGGCTCCAGCCAATCATTACAGACCTTGAGGGGGCGTGGCATGAGCGAGGGGCATGGCATGAGCGAGAGGGGCGCTGCACGAGTGGTGCTACAGTCTGGACCTCATCGCCTTTTTGAGGAGTCCATATGCGGTCCATACGAGTCCAAAATGCGGGATAATTCAGGGCTGGGTCTCCCGACCTCCAACCACGGTCTCTACTTTGGGCTCGGCGCCGATACCTGCAGCTGTGATCTCTCACCTTTAGTGTGAAGAGCGAGGTCAGAGCGATGGTGGCCCTCTCCTCGGTGATGCTGGTCCGGAGGCGGCCCTCCCACACCACCCCGTCCTCCAGGTCCTTCTGTCTCAGCAAAGCTCGGGTCATCATGGGCCCGCTGTCCCTTTCTGTAAGAGTCAGCGCTCTGATCGACGGCAGTCCCGAGCTCAGAGTCTGACTCCAGCGGAGCCATGTCTCCCGAGAGGCCGGGTGGGGGGGCCGCGGACCTGGGGGGGCTGAGGGTTTGGGACGAGGTCTTGGGTTTCAGCCTCTTCCTCCTTTTGAAGGCGGGGGGTTGTGGAGAGAGAGCTGACAGTTCTGTGTGGTCGGACTGGACTTTCAGGAGGTGTTTCTTTGACTTGTGAGGGGCTGTGAGTTCTGATGGACCTGCAGGCTGTTTGGGGACCAGGTTTAAGTCAGCTGGACTGGGCTCAGATGCTGAACCTGGAGGTTCTCCTCTGAGTTTCCTGGGTTTTGGACCTCTCTGCTTCCTGTCTTCTCTCCTGGATGTTGTGGTCTCTTTGCGGGTGAGTTTGGGTCTCTTGGACGGGGGGATGAACCCAGATATGAGGTCTGAGGTGGGCGAGCTGACGGACTGCTTCTTCAGGATGCTGTCGAGGGTCCGGACGTAGCTGGTGCTCCTGACGGGCAGCTCGTAGACCACCGGCTCCGCCACGGGCTGAGAGAAGCTGGCGGCTCGCTCGTCGATCAGCTTCCCTTCGTTCTCCAGGTACTCGTCCAACATGTCGCTGCAGAACGCCGACAGGTTCTTCTTCGGCAGCTCTGATCTGGGACCAGCTGCGGGACGTAAGAGGGACAGATGATTTAGACGCAGGTCAGATTCTGGCTTCATCTTCAGGCTTCAACTAACCAATATCTGAATCACTGTTTTCTTAATTCATCAATGGACAGCTGTGTTACCCAACACGCGTTGTTATCAGTCTCACTAATGTCAAACAAATATTGATAATGCAACATGATATTTATTAACAAACTTTTTATTGATTGACTTTGGAGTTCCTGCTATTTATTGTTCTTTGTCTTCCTTCTATTTGGGGGAAAAGCATGTTCTCAGTTTTAGAACTACGGCTCCCATAATGCTTTGGGAATGTATATAGGAAGTATAGCCATGGATTCAGTGAGTCATACCAGAGACAGTTTAAGAGGAGACACGCCACTCAAAGAATCGTTACTACAATTCTATAGAGAGCTTCAGAAAAAATATATCTGGTAGTCAACGGCGAGAGACAACTCATTTTTTGATCCCGTTTGAATTGTGCGCTGAATCACACACACGATGATGGTCAATTTTAAATAAACATTTGAAAGTCAAGACAGTCGCAGTTTGATGTTGAAGCATCAGACTGAAAATACATAATTACACAGACCACAAACCCAAAAGTCACGTATGTGACGCCATAACTTTTTCTCTCAATGACTGAACGTCACTGAAGCTAACGTCACAGGAGCTAACGTTACTTAAGATATCGTCACAGGAGCCAACGTTACTGGAGCCAACGTCACAGGAGCCAACGGTACCGGAGCCAACGTCACAGGAGCCAACGGTACCGGAGCCAACGGTACCGGAGCCAACAGTACTGAAGCTAATGTCACAGGAGCTAACGTTACGGAAGCTAACGTCACTGAAGCTAACGTCACAGGAGCTAACTTACTGAAGCTAACATCACGTTACTGACGCTAACGTCACAGGAGCTAACGTCACTGAAGCTAACGTCACAGGAGCTAACGTTACTTAAGATATCGTCACAGTAGCCAACGGTACCGGAGCCAACGTTACTGAAGCTAATGTCACAGGAGCTAACTTACTGAAGCTAACATCACGTTACTGGCGCTAACGTCACAGGAGCTAACGTCACTGAAGCTAACGTCACAGGAGCTAACGTTACTTAAGATATCGTCACAGGAGCCAACGGTACCGGAGCCAACGTTACTGAAGCTAATGTCACAGGAGCTAACGTTACTGAAGCTAACGTCACTGAAGCTAACGTCACTGAAGCTAACGTCACAGGAGCTAACTTCACGTTACTGATGCTAACGTCACAGGAGCTAACGTCACTGAAGCTAACGTCACAGGAGCTAACGTCACTGAAGCTAACGTCACAGGAGCTAACGTTACTTAAGATATCGTCACAGGAGCCAACGGTACCGGAGCCAACGTTACTGAAGCTAATGTCACAGGAGCTAACGTTACGGAAGCTAACGTCACTGAAGCTAACGTCACAGGAGCTAACTTCACGTTACTGATGCTAACGTCACAGGAGCTAACGTCACTGAAGCTAACGTCACAGGAGCTAACGTTACTGAAGCTAACATCACGTTACTGACGCTAACGTCACAGGAGCTAACGTCACTGGAGCTAAGATCATGAGGTTCTTGGGAAGTAAAGTCCCACTGAATGATTCAACATGTGTTTCATGTCTGAGAGTTCAGTTCTGACTGAGTAACTATTGTTACTAGTCCTATTATTGTTATTATAATCATTAACATTACGACTGTTACCATTAACACTACTATAAATATCTGTACCATTTTTCATTTAGTCTATAGCAACATCACCTTTACTGTGTGTGCTCTCTCTCTCTCTCTCTCTCTCTCTCTCTCTCCCTCTCTCCCCCTCTCCCCCACCCTGAGCCATGGTTCTGCTCGAGGTTTCTGCCTCTTAAAAGGAAGTTTTTCCTTGCCTCTGTCTCCTAGTGCTGCTCTTGGTGGGAACTGTTGGGCTTCTGTAAATATCATCACAGAGTTCGGTCTAGGCCTGCTCTTTTATGAAAAGCGCTGTGAGATAACTGTTGTTGTGATTTGGCGCTATATAAATAAAATTGAATTGAATTCTGACCAAGTTCTGACTCGGAGAAGGGCTGTGAAGTACTGCTGTAATTGCTCGACTGTCAGTAAAACCCAAAGATATTTAATTCCCTGACACTGGAGACAAAGAAAAGAAGCAAATCTTCAAATCTGAGATGAAATGAATGATTGAATTTGGGGGATTTTTCCTCTAAGAAAACCAACTGACTGCATGTCTCAGAATGGTTTGTGGTTTATCAGTCCACTGATCAATTTATTAACTAATGGTTTCAGCTCTACTCTGTTCAGCTGAAGGTCATTTGGCTAAAGTTGCTGCACCATTACATTTAATTAAGAGCCACCAAATGCTAACAACCCCGACCCTGATACAAATTAAAACAGTCATAAATTTAATGACCTTCTGGGTTGGCGGGCACCGGAGCGGACGGAGCCTCTGGTGGAGTGAATTTCTCTCTCCAACCTTTAATCTGAGTCACGTCTGTTGTTTTTCCGGTTCTGGACACGAACGCTGCAGAAACACCTGCAGAAAAGAAAAGACACGTCTGTGTGTTACCAGGATCGGTGCTGTCGGCTCAGCCAACCAGAGGCAGGATCTCCAGCTGTGTGAAGGTACTGACCCTGAGGCGGTGGTAGCTCCTGGGTCAGCGGCTCCAGAGAGACACCAGGAGGAGGGATAGGAAGACGGACTCCCAGGTACTGCAGATCTATGGCCAGAGACGGATCCAGCAGGTTCATCTTCAGACCGACTGAGTTCACAGAGAAATAACAGACAGAAACTCACTTAAAACACTGCCCCCCCCCAGGCAGGAACCTGCAGCCAGCAGGGGGCGACTCCACCGGCTGCAGAAAGAAGTCTCTGAGAAAATGTTTCTACTTGTCAGCTGATTTATTCCCTCAGTAAACACTTTCCTGATGAGTTTATGGTCTCAGTCGCTAGTTTCAAGTCTTCTTCAACACAGCATGATGTTCATTTAGTAAATTATGGTCCCATTTAGAGGAACAGAGACCAGGAAGCAGGGGAGGCTTTAGGGCGGGGCTACAAGCTGACTGGCGACCTGTCATTCAGGATAGAGGCGGCTCGCTGCTGTACGTTTAACCAGCACCGCTGAAAAAGCTTTTCGTGCTGGACACTCATGCAAGTGGGAATTTAAAATTTGCGTTGTGTGTGAAACCGGCATCAACAGGGCAACGTACCAAGAATGAATCTTCACATATTGTCGTGACTACAGTGAGAGCTGACGCACCTTCCTGCAGCACAGGGTGGATCACCTGTCGGTGTCTCATCAGCTTCAGGTCTGTCAGGAGAACCTTCTCAAAGGCAGCGATCTTCTCCTCCAAACACTCCGCTGTCTCTGCTGAACAGTTTCATGATATCCACTTTTGATTAAACAAACAGTCTCACAGTTTGGGAAATTGTTGTTTGTTGTAACCAAGACGGCTGTGAGCTCGTTGTAATGCCCAGCCTTTATGCTAAGCTAGGCTAAACACACACTGGTCCTCAGAGGTTAACTGACATCCATCTTCTATTCAACAATTTAACATTTGACCAGTAAACGGTGAACACTGTGTGGCTGTAGAAACATGCGTCTGTGTGTCTGTTACCGCTCTCAGGTGCGTCCGCAGATTGTTGCAGGTTCTGACCCTCAGGTGTCGTCTCAGGCTGCGACGCCGTTCCTTCAGACGAGTCCACAGTGTGAAGTTTGAGCGCCTCCTGAAACATGAGTTTTAAATTTTCTGTACATTTATTCTCAACAAGTTCATTGGTTTAAAGTTCTGAGAGCATTACCTAGAGGCTCAAACAGGAAGAACATGCTTATAATGTAGGCTGGGTGTTACCAACGTTTATCCTAGGGCCCTCACTGGACGATGCAAAATGATCTAGTTAGTGTCAGAGGATTCTCATTTCATTACAGTTTAATTAATCAGCTTAACAGCTGACCAACGTCATAGCAAATCACAGGTAGGACCAATAAAATAATGACCGCTCTGTTACAGAAATTAATGTAATTACTTACACCTGTTTGAACATTAAAAATGTCTCCTGTGAAGTCGACTCAACTCATCTTCTATCAGTAGTGTCAAAGAGTACTAGCCAATCACAGCATAGTTGGGCGGGAATTGTCGAAACTCTGGCAGGCCCAATGATAATGCCCCTGAAACCCTCAAGGTTAAGGGGGGTCAGCTCTTCTGCAAGCTATATGCATCCATAACCCCTTTTCCACCGCACGGTACCAGCTCGCCTCGCCTCCGTTTGGTTTTCCACTGTGGAAAAGTTGCACCTGTACCTGCTTCCAGGTACTTACCACCTCCGTCGAGGTTCCAAGCGAGCTGAGGCGAAACTAAAATGTGATGTGAAAACACGACAGACTGCTGATTGGTCAGAGAGAATATTCACTATTCACTGCGTCATCATTGCGTGCACCAGAAAGAGGCCAGCAACAGAAAGTTTTATATTTTACAGTTTTCACACGTTATTTCATCACTAAATCCACTTCTGAGAAGTTTTGAGGTGAGAAATCAGCTGTGTAGATTTTAAATATTGACAGTTTTACGAGAAGTGATTGTGTTGAATATTTTCGGAGTTGAGGAGCTCCGCGAGTGGCTGCAGGTTGAAGCCTGCTGTGAGGCCGGCCAGCCGCCCGCTCACAGAGCCCTCTGCTCCCGCCGCCACACAGACCGCTGCAGCAACAACGGCAGAGGAAAACACAGCTGGAAGGTTTTCATACCGCTTATCTGTCTTTACATTCTGAGGAAGGTTGGAACGTTTTAACTTAAAAAAGAGAAAGCTGTGTGGGTCGCTGGTGTGTGTGTCGCATTGAACATTACGTCACAGCAGTTGTGTGTGGCGTCACTATGACGACCAGCTACATTGAGGGGTGCTATCTCTGGGTGCTATCTGCAAGGCCAGGCGAGCTGGTAATGGAAAAACGGCAAAAATCTGTATACCGTCACAGGCTGTCGTTCGTCCTGTTGATGCTCAAACGCAAAAAAAAAAAGAAGAGAGTGAGAGAAGGAAGGAAACTCAAAGGCAAGAACGTCTGTTTGTTGAGATGGACGGTAACTGCTAACCCTCATCCCTGATGGATTTTGATTTAGTTTCACTTTGCGTCTATTTGTAACCTAAATTAACTCCAACCAACGTTGAGCTCCATGTGATGTCAGACCAGAGGACACGGGAGCAGCTTGGTGTGTGTTTATATGTGAGTGATGAGCTAATATCAGTAGATAACTTCAGCCTGGCAGATTCATGGATCAGAGCCAATCAGGAAGCCAAACGTGAGCGTCTGCGTCATCGTTTCCACCTGTCAGCACCAACATCGTTTGACGGGACTCGTTCGACAGGCATAGAACGCATCAAACGCGCTTCCCACTGATGTCAGAGTTCACATGCTTCAAAACAGCCAACAATATTTGTTCTCCGGTGGTTGACTTCATATTCAACTCTATATCAAAGTTACTGTAATTTAACAGAAAATGCAGCCGTCCTGGGAATTTTATCACAGAAAAGTCATTGCACCACACAAAACCAGATCTAGGTCTATTTAGTTTTACCTTTGATGTGAAAGAGATAAATAATGCTCCTCCACTTCCTCCAGGTTAGGCTGCATGCTAGTGTAGTTGGAGTCGTCCGTCTTCTGATTCAGTCCCGTCTTAGCAAGCTTTCGCTGCCGGGACTTCTTCTTGCGCCTGGAGGATTTGTTGGCTTGGGTTGGTGTCACCTGCTGAAAAGGGTCCTGCGCATTTGCTTCTACAGCACTTGGAGGTGGGCAGGGAACTGCCATTGTCTCTGCGTTGGAAAACTCCACCCCCATCGCAAGGTCATCATCGGTGGAGAAAAAATGTACAAGGTCTGCGAGAGACGGTGTGGGTGACAATCCCTCTCCGTCTAATGAAGAGAAGGTTGGAGACAGCGGCAACTGAAGTGCGAGGGGGGACAGTTCTGCAGGGAAGGGCAGCAACTGTTCGTTTTCTTGAAATGACGGAGCAGCATCCGCTGGAGGCCTGGATGTGTCAAGAGTCTGTTGTTCAGGGTGGGAGGGAGTCTGAGAAGGCAATGAAGGTGACATAACAGACGCTAAAGGATGAGCGTCGGGAGAGTGCTGAAATGGTGTAAATGAAGTCTCCATGTATGGCTCAGGCGGAGGTAACACTGTATGCCATTTAAACACACATGGGGTAACGTCTTTGCCAAGCGGTAGCTCTTCCGGTACTGCTTTTAGAGTTGGCTCAGAAGTAGTGGAGTTGAGTTCTAAAGCTAACGCGGTGGGCAGGGAAGGTAAAGGTTCTGGAGAGCTTGCTGGGGACAAAGTCTCGAAGCCAAAAGAAGAACACTCAGGGTCAGGAAGCAAAGAATCAGACTTCATGGTGGGGTCATCTGAAGGTAGTGAGGAAGACTCAGTGATGGTTGAGGTTTGTGGCGAGTTTGGGGCAGGTATCGCTGTGTCATAGGGTGGTGACAAAACGGGAGATGCAGAAGAGGTAGTAAGAGTTGACGAACTGGTATATACAGATGTTCCAAGGGTACAAAATGTCTGATCAGAGTTGGATAATACTGGCGTAACATCTGGTACTGCTGGCTCTGAGCCTGGGCTTTCAGCAAATGAAATGGAGGCAAAGAAATCATCAGTTCTGTGTCCCTTTGGATCAGCAGTGGCAATAGCATCTGGATACGATGGACTGGAAGGCTGCTGGGCAGTTCCAGCTGGCTGTCCCGTAACACTAAAAACCATTTCATCCGCATGAAGAGGAGTACATCCCGAGGCCTGGTTGTTGCATTTGGTGCCATCACCAATCAGGTCCTTCAAGGGACCAGTCGCATTGCCGCGTGATCAGAAGGCGGGCATGCAGAAGCTGCAGTAGAACTCAGTAGAGCAGTAGATTCAGATGGGAGTGCTGGAGAGGGAGTGTCCGGGTCGCTCTTGACCTTTTTAGATTTCGTCGAATGTTGCTTCAAAAAAAGAGCGAGAGCTGGCAGAGGCAGACGGACTGGCTGTTTGTGCTGCTTTACTTTCTCCTTTGATGGGGTTTCGGGCTTACGTTGGGGGTCTACGGAGTCCACAGAGGAGTTCTGGGACAGTGCAGCAACATTACTGACCTCAGAACAATCTGTTCTAACATTGTTTTTACAGTTCAATGAATTCAAAGGGTCCTTGTCGTCCTTCCCTTTCCTTTTTGTTACAGATTCACCTTTCTTTGCAGGTGATTTTTCTCCATGTGTTTTGACTGACAAACTGTCCCTCTTGGGAACATCTTGTACGTTGTTTGTCAGAGTTGTGGTGTTAGTTTGCTCAGTTCTGTGAGAGGTGCTGCCGTTGTTGATGGCCAGCTGCTCCAGGTTGCATCTTTGCAGTGAAACGTGAGCCTCCCGAATAAGTTCAGAAAATAACTTCTGAGCTGGACGTGAATTGTTGCTGAAGGAAATCAAACAATAAAAACACCACATTAGTGACATCAGCACGTCGTGATACTGCAGTACAAAACTATGACATACGGTCTGGTTATTAAAACAAAAATAACATTAACTAGTCACAGCCAAGCTTCACGCATTGGGTTAATTCTTGGTGTCAAAACACAGCAACTCCCCTCCGTTCACACATAAGGACTTTAACACTCGAGGAGAGACAGGCTGCCATTCATTTCAAACAGAAGCTCCAAAAACATTTTGACACCTTCCCTCGCAATTCAAGACCCTGCTGCGCAACCTGAAGAAGTTGGTTAGGGTTCAACTTTATTGCAAATATCATCTGACGTACCAGAGCCACAAACCCACAGACAACCAACAGTGTTTGAGGCTGTTTGTGTGAACATGGGGTTAGTAAGGAAAGGCAAAGATTCCCTTCATGGTGCAAAGTTGTTTCTTATGGATAACTGGCGACATACAGTTTCACTGAGATATATGTAGTATCATTTGGTGAAGAGTAAAGGAAGCACAAGATGCAGTAGCTAACAAAATACCAGCCATGAAACTAGACTACAATGTATTCCGAAACATGCCAATTTACAAGTTGGTCTTTCTTGTACTGTAGAACTCTTACCGCGAACATTCCCCGGTGACCTTGGCAGCTGACTGATCTTTGTTTGTAGTGGAATTTTTCTGGAGATCACCCGACACAGAAGGCTTTGAGTCTGCTGTTTTTGAGCTTCTAGGTTTATGGTTTGCAAGCAAAGACTTCAAGCTCTTCTTCACAGGGTTCTGCTCGTTGCTTGTCGTGTCACCGCCTTTATGCGAGTCTTTGCAAGAGTTCAATTTCAGCTTTGGGCCCAACAAACTGGAGCCGTCCTCCTTCAGTCCTTTAGCAAACGGGTTGTAGTCGACTTTAAGCTGAGAAAACCGTGAGTTCTGGTAAGCAGTGACTGCCATAAACTCAGTCTGGGGGAACGTGAATGTGACAACATTGGGACCAGTTAGTTTTAAGTCTTTAGCAGCTTTGTCAGTTTGGACCACGTGCAGTCGTGGCAAGTAGCGGTGCATCGGATGCAGGATGGCGTTCCCCTCTTGGTCTGAGATGTTGTTTGTGAGCTTCAGTTTGTAAAAGGACACTGGACTCTGCATCCAGTGTTGACCCGTTGACGGGGAATCTGGATGAGCGAATGGCTGACTCTTTAAATGACACTCTGCCTTTCCAGCAACTTCCCAGCTCTTGCCGGTCCATTTGTATCGACTGTTGTCCAATGGTCGAATGTCCATGATCAACAAGTACTTCCGAGATGCATGCAAGCCAGAGATGCGAAAGCGGCAGTAGGGGAACATTCTGCTGCCTTGTTTAGTCAGAATCATCTCCGTTTTGCATCTGAAAAACTCGTTCCACATGCTGTTGTTGTCCAGCGTCACTCGGATGCCTTTGCAGATGCTGTCTGGTGAGAGATTGTCTGGCTGAGAGTTTGAACTGGCAGGATGTTTCGCAGAAAGGAGTCCAACAGAAGTCCTGATGGCTTCCTTTGATGGGTACATAATTGGTTTACCCATCATATCTGCCTCTTCACTGCTTCCACCGGTGCTTTGCTCCATCCCACCGTCACTCGCCTTCCCTAGTTTTGGAACAACAAAGCATGCAGAGGGATGGTCCCCTGCAGGTGCTGCTGCAGGGGTGGTTGCCCCTTCTTGATGGAGAACCATTCCTTTCTGCTTCTTCTTAGAAGCCATGAACAGGTCCCAGACATCTAAAGGGGAGGAGGGTCCTGCTTTTTATACATCTGTACCATGGTTCAAGACAGCATCCTGAAAAACAAAATGATAAACTTTCATTAACTATTTGATATGATGCAAATCATCAAAGAAAAAACGGAACACTTAAGGGATATTTGTGAGTTTGCTGTTGTGTGTTAAGAGTTACGGTGTACCAAGAGACCACGCACACGAAGCCACTGAAGCTACAAACGTAACTGATGTGCGCCACCTCTAAAATGTCTTGTCTGGACAACTAAAGAGATACCACATGAAGACAACGAGCACTCTGATTGGTCAACCATTGTTTTGTACAACGCCAGTAGAGATTGTTGCTGATTTTGACACATCTAGCAAAACATGAACGAATGGAAACATGATTACTTTGGCTACTGATTGTAATCTTCTACTCAGTAATTAATTAATAGACTCAGTAAGTACAGCCGTTAGCACTACTGTAATCTCTTCTGTCAAGTACAAATCTCGCTTAAATCGCTGTAATCAGGAGCTAAACCTGTGACTGTTTAGAAAGAGACGCCATTTAAAGAATCCTGAACAGAATTCTATGGGGAAAGCCCGTAACGCCAATGAAGGCGGTTGTATGCACACATCCCTCCCCTCCCGTAAGAAAGCCAATAGTCTGCTTTTAACAGCTGAGTCAAGAAACACATCAAGCCAATCGTGTGGTTCCACTGACGTCAGAGCACAGCTGAGGTTTGCGACAGTTTCAAATGTTGTGGTGGCGACGAGGAGCAGGTGTGTGACAGATCAGATGCTCTACATGTCCGCCAAAATACTGTGTGAAAAGGTGTCAAATGTGATCTGCAGTACTCGCAGAGTGTGTTAGAAAATTCTACGGTGCCTTCTAAAAACATATACGCTTACTGCTGACTGCTGACCAGTCAAAGTGCAGTTCCGCATGACGAAAAAACTGTCATCGGGGGGGTTCACACAGGCTCTGTGCGGATATCTGCGTGCCTCCCATTTTTTCCAACCGACTATGCTATCAGAGCACCAACCGATCTACTGCGCATGTGTGGAACGAGTCCACCAAGCTGACTCCAGACAGTAGTAAACAGAAGTAGTCCGCTCCAGAGTATAGGCTATTCGAGCCTTTAGTCCACCAATAGCCTAACGCCCCGGAGGGGTTACCAAGATGGCTGCCAAGTTGCGGGAGGTGCCTATAAGGAATTTGACTAAACAAGCATAAGCTGCGTTTTCACCGCAGGAACTTCCCCCTGGAACCAGGAACCTTTGGATGAACTCACCGCATTCCGTTAAGTTCCGGGCACTTTTACCCCCAAAGTCCCTGTTTGGGGGGTAGTGCATACCAAAAGAACTGGAACTTGGGAGGGTGGGGCTTGCCTTGCAGTGTATTTCTGAATGGTCTAGGTGAGGCTACTCGCTTTACATGAGCATTTCAGCTGTTTTGAATCCGCTTTAGCCCCTTTTCCACCGCACGGTACCAGCTCGCCTCGCCTCGCCTCTGGTTTTCCACTGCGGAAAAGTTTTTTTTCGTATCACCTCTGTCGAGGTTACAGTCGAGCTGAGGCGATACTAAAACAAAACACGACATACCCGCTGATTGGTCAGAGAGAATCGTCACTATTCACTGTATCATCACTGCGCGCCAGACAGAGGCCAGCAGCAGGAAGTTTTATATTTTACAGTTTTCACACGTTATTTCATCACTAAATCCACTTCTGAGAAGTTTTGAGGTGAAATCAGCTGTGTAGATATTATAATATTGACAGTTTTATGAGAAGTGATGGCGGAACACAAGTGTGCTTGAGAGTTTTTGGAGTTGAGGAGCTCCGCGAGTGGCTGCGGGTTGAAGCCTGCTGTGACCCGCGGGAGGAGCGTGTGAGGCCGGCCGGCCGCTCACAGAGCCCTCTGCTCCCGCCGTCACACAGACCGCTGCAGCAACAACGCCAGAGGAAAACACAGCTGGAAGCTTTTCATACCGCTTATCTGTCTTTACATTCTGAGGAAGGTTCAAACGCTTTGACTTAAACCCAGAGACAGCTGTGTGGGTCGCATTGAACATTACGTTTCAGCAGTTGTGTGCGGCGTCGCTATGACGACCAGCTACACTGAGGGGCACGGTGGGCCGAGACGGGGCGAGCTGGTACAGGTAATAGAAAAACGGCATTTGTAGCTACTGCTCATCTCTCTTCCACCGTTGACTCAATGAAATTTGCAAATCAAATAAATCACGATCGACACCCAGATAGCACCCACAAGTCTCGCTGATGTCGGATCGAGATCGTACATCTGTATTATATTTATAACTTGTAAACAGCAGCCAGTGTGCAGCTAGTCCTGCGGTGTGTTTGCAGCTAACAGCTGATAGAGTCCAGCTAAATTCTGGGTCCAGAGTTGTTGTTTTAAGCTTTCATCATTCAGGAGTTTTCTACAAGGAGCCGATGTACGTCCCCCCCTCCTCTCCTAAACAAACAGACCAGCTGATTACAACAGGTCATAAAGCACGTTAAAAATCACATTACTCCGACACTCAGGCGGAAACAGGAAGCGAGAGCTGCGAGCTGCTGATCCTGGGACTAAACGTCCTGGGTACCTTTGGTCGAAAGACGGCTTATAGCTGCTGAAATAATCCAATACGCCACTCCAAAGCTCACACTCTCACTGAACCCTGGACCAGGCTGAATCCAGTTTAAGAATATGAACCTGTGTCTCTCCACCTCTCACTGACCCCCGTTTAAAAATAAGCGGCTATCCAGCCTCTTACAACCCACACCTTGCCCTTCGCTAAATGTAAAGCTGCTGATGTAAACAAGCGTCGTGATAAACAATTAACACCCAGCAAGCCAAATATTTTTTGCAGAATTAATGAACCAAATGAGGAAAGACGAGTGAACGCTGGACTGATAGTCTATTGGTTAATACAAAGCAGACTTCAGAACCCCTCCCAGACATGGACTCTGTAACAGTGCTAGCTTCTTCTTTCTAATAAAATAGTTTTTGGGATTCACACACGTCTCTGCTACATAAATACTCCCTGAGTTGCTTTATTAAAACGTGACAGGACTGTTCCAGCTGCATGCCGCCACCTGGCAGCAAACTATGGTGAGATGGGAAATATCAGAATCAGAATGAAGTGATGGATTTATTAAAATTTTGCTTCTTGTGGCTTACTTTAATGATCACCGTGAGCCACAGCAACGCTTCTCAACATCAAACCAACTCTGTTGATCCACCGATTCAGTTTCTGATCCAATCTGCTGCTTGTTTCACAGCCTTCAGTCTGACGGACAGCAAGCAGAGCGCATGACTGACTGACTACATGATTGATTGAGACTGATCACATGAGAGCAGAATCGTTAAAATTTGCTCATTCACAAAGTTTTCTGTCTTTAAAAAATTATCATTCACTCACTGTCATAATTATTACAGCGCTCTGAAGAAGAACAATCAGTATCTCTGTGGATTTCACTGTGCGCTGCCTTAGGCCCGATCAGACAGAAAGCGTTCTGGGCCTTTTTGGTTGAATTTGGAGCAGTGCGCTGCGTTTTTTTATGTTGCTAGGCAACCACCGAATCAGCTGTCCTGTCAGACTAATCAAAGATTTTAGCGCCAGCGATCTGTAATCTTTGTCATATTAGCAGAAACTTCATCACAGCTCACAGGTCTGGGTCTGTTGTTGCTTTAAAAACAAACGCAGGGCGGCTGCTCTGCCGCTGTCTGAGGGTGAGAGGTGAAGCAGGAGACCCTCAGAAAGAGGAGACGCCGCTGGTAGCACCGCCAGCTGGTAGCACCGCCAGCTGGTAGCACCGCCAGCTGGTCCAGGAGCTTTGTTTTTATGATGGTTGGTTCAAAGCTTATTCTAGGATGACAAGGGGACAGTTTGTCTCCGGACAATCCAAGCAACTGGAAACTTTCGCCACCACAACTGAGGGCCCGCCTCTCTATTCATCTGATTGGACAGTTGAAAAAACGCAAATGACGTCGGGCGCTTTTCTGCTCAGAGTTGAATTTTTTTTATTTTGTGCGCTCAGAGTGCTTCTTTGAAAACACGAGGCAGGCGCCCAGGGCGCACAAACAGCGCGCAGGACGCTCACTGCCAATAGGAAACGATTTAAAAGACACCTCTCACTGGAAAATACACGTTCTGTCTGATCGGGGGACTTAGCCTTTACAGTATGTTCAATTTCGACTTCTTCCGCATTGAATTAATAAAGAAATGTCGCAGACACGACCTTTTCGGGTTTGCAGCCTTGAAGAAAATGTGATGTGGTTGTTCCAAACATGTAATGTTGCAAACATTTACGTAACAACATGTTCAAAGCTTCAATATGTAGCAACTATTTGCTAAGATGTTAGCCATTACGATGAGGTGATGGTGTTGCTGGGAGTCTGATTCAGTTTGTCCACTAGGGGCCACATTTATTCAAAGCAGCTTTAAATGTGTTTTTAAGTGTAAAGTCAGACTGTGGCCTTTCAAATATATTGTAAACTCCATTCTTTTCAGGGCAGAAAACAAAACCTTTAGCTGGTTAACTTCAGAATCGCTACCCGCCTGCAGTTCAACGCTCATCAGGTCTGTGCCATTTTTAAAATGTGTGTTGATAATTATATAGCTGCTTAGATCGGCTGGCCAGCATGTGTTAAAGACAAAGCATCATGCAACAGTGTGTAAATTCCCAAATGTGACAACCTGATTATCGCCACACAACATACCAAACCGTTCCCCACACGTCCAGCAGTCTGTTAAGTTTTAGTCAATGACCAAAATCCGTTCACGTGCTGTACATGTTGAATTTACAACTAATTTGTCCATAGGACTGTATTTAAAAAAGCTATTGTCCCTCCATGATGCATGCTTGAACTGATCTGCATGTTGGTATTTACCAGCAGCAACAACTGTAAACTTAAGCAAATAGATAATTAATAAAGTATGCTAGGTTCAGGAAACTTTACCTCGCAGCAAACAAGAAGTATTTCAGATTAGCTTCACAGAGACATGTTTAACTGTGGATGCATGAGACTAAAGGTGGCCTTTAAAGAGACTGCAGCTAGCTAGCAGCAGCAGGCCTGATGCTGAGCCCGGTAATGGCTTCCCAGTAAACACTAAACCCTCTCGGTCGGTCCGTCCTGGCCCACTGCGACCATGTGCTCCCATAACAGCACACGGATTACCTTCTGCGTGGTGGAACAGATCGAGTGTTTCGACGGTGTGACATGAATCCGAGCGCTACCGTCTGTTATTCCGCCGTAAAACCATCTCCGGCACCGTGGTTATGTTCTTACTGAGGGGGATAACTGCATGCGGTGTCCTTGCGCTGAAACGTCAGCGCCCGTCCTCGTCTTCTCCGGTACTGCGCAGCCTCGGACGCCATCTTGCTGCCGCCACCTGGTTCAAAACTCGTCCCGGCGGCACCGGAGGTTCTGCCGCCGGTACCTGCGGGGGAAGAGCTGTAGGACCGCGGGACCGCGTCTTCTTCCATTCTGTAGATTTACCTCCTCCTGCTGGACCGTTTATTGGAATATAAAACCCGCCTGGGATGCGGTGGACAGACGCCATGACCGACAGACGTTTGTCTGCTTACCTTCAGAAGCAGAAGTGAACTCCTGTTTTAGTCAAACCGGGTCAGTTTAACGTTATCAGGGAAAAATGGACGCCGTGAGGCTTGTCAGGGGCTTCGTGATCAAAAACCACCGACAGAACAGGGGAACTATTTCCTGCGGGGACCCTGACTTACGGCCGGAAACAGAACAGTTCAACTGCTGCTCGAGGAGATTTGTTTAAAGGCCGGTGTGAAAGAAAACAAGAACACAGCCTGAAGTTCACTGTGGCGATGAGATGGTTAACTGTGGCTGTGAAATCGCGCCTTCGCTTCTGCCTTCTTTGTTATGGGTCGTAGTTTCTGGTGGTGTTTCCCAAAATGGGTTCAGCTCAGTGTAAATGTGTGTTTAACTGTGTTATGTTTGAGATCCAGGAGACAGGATCACTCGTTCTGTCACATTACGGCGCAGCAGCGGACTCCATGTTGTTTTCACTACCCGCGGGAATCCGGGACGACAGCGTTAAATGTCCCCGTTCTTTCACTCGGTGGCTTGTCGTGTACGGTAACGTTAACGGAGAGGGAAGTGATCCGTGCGAGTGTGGTAACGTTAACGGAAGCGGTGCGGGGAGGATCCGCAGAGATGATCCGCCGCTTCTAACAAACAAAGGGCTGCATGAGGCTGCTGCGCGTGCATTGAACGGGACACAGCCAGCTAGTTGAAACCGGTGTTACATCCTCAGATTCACAGCAGGAAGTCACCGTCGACGGTAGCAGCAGCCATTGTTGGCTCCTTTACCGTTAATAAAGTCAGTTTAACCGACGTTAAACCGCCTCAGCTGTGGTCACACTTACGACACGCGCGTGTGTTTGTGCCGCAGAGGCGCGCATGCGCGTTGTGAAAACTTAATATAAATCAGGTGTTTTGTCTCATATTTTGAGTGTATATGTGATTTGATGTGTCGGTCTTGTGATTGTTCTTATTGGTCATCTTCCACATTGAACGCGGCCCCCAATGCAGATGGAGGTAAACGCAAAATGAGCCGCAGCGACATCTACAGGGCTATTTTCGTTAGTTAGCTCCCAGGCTAAGAGCTAACCGACAAGCAGCTAAACCGGTGTGCTGCTCGCCAGGTAACCGTCTGCTGCCACAGACCTGTATCTGAAGCGCCCCATCAGGTCACTAAACACTGAATCGCTGTGTGACGTTTACAGAAACGTTTCAACGTCACGCATCGTTATTTATTGAAGAGGCACGTATCATTTATGTTGGCACAAGTTCCCCTGTAACATGGAGGCGGTGGGAGAGGGTTCGGCAGAGCCTCCATCTTGAGAGAAAAACGCTCCTTTTGTATGTGGACATGTCGAGTTGACCCAGTTTCTATGCGGAATCCAAGAGGAAGATACCATCTGAAGAAATAAATGACTTCAGATCTTGGCTGTAAGCAGCAGAGTTTATCCAGTTTCACTCAGAATCAGCTTTATTACCAAGTAGTTTCTACAGATAAAAGGATCTGCTTTGGTGCTTAATAGACACAAACCTACATAATAAATATAATTGACAAGTTATAAAAGAATAAATACTGTGCAGTATTGCAGTTATTTACGGTCGTCCTCGTGTGAAGAAGTGGTTTTACAGTGAATTATATTTATTTGAATGATATTGATAGAGAATTTCCCCTCGGGGATCAATAAAGTATTTCTGATTTAAAGGAACAATTAGAAATTAAAGTCATAATTTAAATATGGTGCTATGAATAAATTAAGTATTAAGTACAATTACTCAAGTACTGTAAGGATATAGTACTTCTACTTAAGGAATTCCATATTATGCTGCTATCTACTTTTACTCCTACATTTAAAGGGGGAAATATTGTACTTTTTGCTGCATTATACTTCTGACGGCTTCAGCTTACTTTAACAGGCTTCCCACGCGTTTTCCAGTCATGGAAAATGAGAGGAAAATAGTTTAATTTTGTTCTTCTGAGCTTGTTTTAAACTGTTGCATGTTGTTAAAATCAGACCTCTGCAGAGAGGAACACGTTAGTGTATGACGTTATCCGTGTCTGTCACACCAGCCAGATCACTGAAAATGTCCTGGAAAATGATCTCTAGAAAAAAGTGGGAACCTTTTTACCTATAAAACATTTTTATATAATCGTGTGTACAATTACAGTACATACAATATTAATCAGCTCCACCTCAAACTATTAGTGCAGGAAGATGTTATGGACAGTAATGCATCAGTATAAACAGTCCATAGAGAAGAAATAACACAGAGGTCATTTCTGCACTTTAAGGAACATTTTGTAGGCAGTACTTATGTACATTTACTACTTTACTAAGTATAACTGAGTGCAGACATTTCACTTGTGATGCAGTATTTCCTCACCTTGAGTGCTACTTTTACTTGTAAACTAGACAAGTTATTTTAATGTAATTCTGTTTTCACTTCTTCAGGAAACTAACACACTGGTTATATTCCCCCGGTTCCTCTGTAGTATGAGTTGTCAGTCTCTTCAGGTGTGACTGATGTATTATTTTTCAGGTGAGCCTTCAGTCAGATTCTCAGGACGGCTCATCAGCTGACTGTTCCTCCTCAGCGTGGATTAAAAGCTGTTGGTAATAATATGAAACAATACAGAAATCAATGTGGCACAAATGACGCTTTATTTGTTTGTCCAGAGTCTCACACATCTGCTCTCTGTACAGATCTGCAGTCACACAGGTAAGGACGTGACAACAGGAAGACGTCAGCTTGGGTCTTGAATAAATTCAGGGTTTGATCTCTTTGAGGCAACATACAAAAACATCTTAAAACATACTGTCCCTTGATATCCTGACATGAAGAGTGGTGCAGACGGAAAAGTTTAACTTACGTCAGGAAATTAACCTTTAGCTACACAGTTTGACAGTCAGACACCTCCAACACAGAAACCACTTGATTTCCAGGATCAATAAAACATCCCAGAGCTTTAAAATACAGAATTACATCTTCTATAGTACATCTGACTCAAATATACAACATAAGTACACGTGTTCAGTGATACTCTAAAGGACAGTTTACACACTTCAAGTAATTAAAAACTTCAGCTTCATTTCAGTGTTAGAGGAAATGTAGAAGTGAGTTCATGTAAAACAGAAAAACGCACAACATCATCTGCAGCAGCCAGGGCCGGATTAACACGCTGCAAGGGCCCCGGGCTCATGTGCCGTGGGCCCCCAACCCCCCTCCCTGCTCTGTGCATTGTGCATGTATTACACATTATTTAGTGAAATGCACCTTATTAGCACAATATAAACTGATATAATAAAGGCATACAACTACGTTTTGACATCAGGAGGGAACATTTGTACCTGATAATGCATACGTAGAATATTCCGGCTTTAATTATCGATTATTCTGCAGTCTAGAAACATCAGAAAATATTACAAAATGCCCGGTCCCCTCAGCCAACAGCCCAAAAACTGAAAGATGTTAAGTTTGCTACAACAGACAACTAAAAGACTGCATATATTCACATCTGAAAGGTGAGCACTACCTGAAACAACCATCTTATTGTTTGTGCTGTAAATATGAAAACAAATGCATTTCAAAATACATCAGCAGAACGGCTCATTAGGGCCTCGAACACAACGTAACGTCAGCCCGACGACAAACGGTCTTGTTATCATATCCTCGATCTTGGAACCCGTCGCTGTCGAGACTTTGAAAGTAGACACCTTTTTTAAAAAGCTAACAGAGATTATTATTAGACGTTTCAGCCAAAGGGTTTTGCTTTTTCTCTCCACACTCACTGTTTATACCTGCACGCAACCAAAGCCCGCTCATGATTGGTCAAAACTACTGTGACCGCAAATGGAAATCAGAACGCCTCCGACACCAAAGTCTTGTCTCTGATACATCTGTTTTATATGCAGGTGTCTGTTTATAGAGAGGATCGTATCCTGAACTGAAGAACTGCAACACAAACGCACCTTCCTGGTTCTGTTAACAAACTGATCCTCCTCGCTGCTCGTACCGCTCTCCATTAGTGACAACTAACGAGGATCCGCTTATAGGAATAGCTCCAGATTCATTGTCAGATGATCGACGTGAGAGAAAAGCTGTGATTATGTTGTTGCTGATGATACGCCGCGGAAAGTTAAAGGAAACAGAATAAAGCTGACTTAAAAAGTATTTGTTAATGAAAATATCAAACATTTCTTGAACTCCTGAAACGATCAGGCTGCTCTCAAGACTTCAGAACATCTGAAATACATGTGACAGTAAAGGTCTGTTCACCAGGCTGGTTTTCAGGTGATGCTACATGCTGGTGCAGGTGAAGCTGAAGCCGAGCACTGAAGTACCAAACTGCAGCAGAGAAATTAGCTCATTTAGCAACAGTCTCTGTTTGTACACCAGAAGGCGCTGAAAATATAAAAAACACCACATATACATATCTAAATCTTTAAAGGATTCATTAAAGGATCCAGGACATCCTTGTGAAAGAGATTAAAAATCTCAATGGATTTCTTTCCTGGTAAAATAAAAAAAAATTGCAACTGTAACTGTTAAAACAGCAAACAGCGTTGGATGGGCCTTCGCGCTGTGACATGTCTGGGCTTGTTGCGACCGCAGTGAAGTTGCCCGAGGTCGTTGGCGCTGCTCTGAATTATCATGCACTTTGGACACCTTACGTAGGAGTTTAACGTCACTTCGTGTACGTGTGGAACATACTGTCAAAATGTAAATTAAATGACCATTATAACACAGGGCCTAATTCCTGTTGCCAGTAGGTGGCGTTACAACTGACTGAATACTGGCATCAGGGCCCTGACATGTATAAACATGTAAAGTCTGGTGCAGATGTGAGCATGTTTCATGGCGAATTAGGAGTTCGTT